TATCTATCTATCTATCTATCTATCTATCTATCTATCTATCTATCTATCTATCTATCAAGGTGCTGGTTATCACCTTTAAAACCCTTCATGGCATAGAGCCTGGCTTTCTGAGAACCAGTTATCTCCAGTTGTTTATGCCCATTCAGTAGGATCAAGCAGGGTACACTCTGGGTCCTGTCCAACAAATAGTGTCATCTTGCAGGACCAAGAAGAAACACCTACTCTGTTGCAGTTCCTGCCCTCTGGAATGATTTCTCCCTCACCCCATAGATGTGTGTGGCTCTCACCATTATGTCATTTAGGAAATCACTAAAGACTTTGTTCTTTCCCCAGTCCCCCTTCTGTTCTGTTCTCTTTTGTTTTGGTTCTGGTAAGTTTAGAGTTGATATTTTGCTCTTCCAGTCAGTTGTATTCTTATATTATCTCTGATAGCTCATTGGAAGTTCTTCTAGATATCCCTTCCTGCAACCACTGAGGGCCAGGACCTGGATAGCTCCTAAAGCTAATGCACCCAGTAGAGGGTTTGAACCTCACAGAATAAAATCTGGTTACCCATGTCTGAAGACTCTCAATAGTGATAGTCTCCTGGTGATCAGTGTAACCGAAAAACATAGACTCCATGTTATGCTGGAAAGAGATATCCAGTGGCATATGATGATAAAATATGATTATGAAATTTTCAGATGACACAGGGTATAGCAACCACTTTAGAGGACACAATCAGAATTAAGGAGAATCTTGACAGGCTGGAACAATAGCATTAAGGAGCAAGATGAATTTCCACAGGGATAAATATCAACTATTTAATTTGAGTGTGAAAAATAACTATATTAGGGAGCAGCACATGTTAACGGATCTATTAGACATGGTGGGCAATATGATTCAGTTGGAAAAAGAAAAAAGAAACATTAACACTGTATCAACAGTAGTATAATGACAAGAATAAGAGGAGTCTTTGTTCCTTTCTATTGAGCATTTGTTAGAACTTGCCTCAAATCTTTTTCTAGTTCTGGAAACTGAATTTTATAAAGAAATCAATGATTTGGAGCATGTCTAGAAAAAAGCAACCCAGGTGATGAGGGGTCTTGTGGAAGAACAGCCTTGCAGCAGTCAGTATGAGTCCTTCCTTCCCTTTGTTTTCCTTCTCCCTGGGACTTTAAGGCAGCAAGGAAGATGCGGTTAGTACTTGAGTGTAGGTGTGTGTGTTGGAAGGACAATCTTGCCATGTGGGAGAAAAGTTGCAGCCAAGGGAGGAGACCAGATGCCAGGATAAAGTGCAATGATTGATGGCAAGGGTCAAGCAGGCATGAATTCCCATAGACCAACAGCAGAAAAGCTGAAAGGGGAAGTGGAACTTGGCACTGTTCTATCTTCAGCAGAGACACTAACAGTCTACAGCCAGCCAGCATGTTCCCCCCCCTCCCCCCACATACCCCAACACAGACTGAAAGACTGCAAAGCCAACTCTTCCGCAGCAGGTCGGAACGACATCCTGCAAATGCTGAGCTGATAATACCAGAATGCCAATCATCAACAGAAATCCAACTGGTGGCTAAAGAATTAATTATAGCTCATACAAGCATATTTGTATGGCAAAGGAGGAAAGAATTGCATATTGGACTCTTTAGGATTTAACTACAAAGCACATGTAGGAAGAGACACAGATTTATAGCAACAGGTATAGCATATTCCATAGGTTTAGTGATAAGAGTCAGCGAAAATAAGAAATAAGAACCATTAAGTTTCTTAAGCCACTTTGTATAATAAAAGCCTGAAATGAAACATGGAGAATATAATACTACAAAAGTTGTCAGTAATGTGTACAATTTCCTCAAAGAACCCCTCACAGATTTGGATACACACACACACACACACACACACACACACATCCAGTGCCTCCAACTGGTATGTATGCATGCATGCATGTATGCATGCATGTATGTATGTATGTATGTATGTA